GTGTCGCAGTCGCCTCCATGTGCATGCGTCCTCATTAAGCCAATTGTTGTGGTTACTAGTGGAGGGATGTGTTCGTCCTGTCAATGCCAGTGTAATAACATGATGATCGTGTTATTATCGACTTATTGACAGAAATGGAGTGGATTGCAGTAGCATAAAATGTGGACGATGAATGTCCCAAGAGACTGTGCATCTGACATAGCGTTTTTGTCTTCCTGAATCGGAAGTCAAGACAACGATAAGCACCAGCTGTTGTTGCAGCGGTTCTGCGGTGTCGCAGAATTTGCCGGACACCTCCAATTTAGCCATCTGTATTTGCGAGGTGTGCCTTTGTCATGTCGATTGTGAGCGTAATCCTGTTGGGTAGCACAGAAGAATTATGAGAGAGTGGAGGGTAGTGACGTTACTTGTTGCACCACCACCACCACCACCACCACTACCACCACCACCATCTTACTTCCTTTGAACCACAACACGCATGCCTGTCTTTGCTGCATTCGTGCTGTGTCGGTGTTGTCGAATGTAGGCTTTCATCACGCAACAACTTTTGTACCACCTTCACAAACTGAGCGAAACAGGGATAGATGTGCAGGTGATTAACTCGACGATGGGCAGATGATTAGAAGGCATAGGAGAACGAGGAGAACGTGTGGCGGATGCGTTTTCAGCTTGGAGAGGTCACGGGCTTCGATGCCGTTGCCAAATCATCTACAAGCACTGACTTGCCTCTCGTTGACACCGACCAAGCGAGTCATCACCAGATGACTGCCAATTTCATCGTTACCAATCAATGTGCCCTTTGTGCCACCGGCAGCCCAAACGAGACAAGCAGAGGTATGCGTTATGCTTCCTCAATGTCAATGCGCATGTGAGGGGAACGAATGTGATTCTACTGCATCCACCATCACTCCACCACGACCTGTTTCAAGAGGCACCACGAGGCGATGCCGAGGCGTGTCCGCGTAATTAGTTTAGCAAGTCATGGTGCTGCAGGAACCACAATCATTGCCCCAAAGTGTACAAAGCAATTGCGAAATGTAGCAAAGCACACTGTGGATTGCATGAGTGTACATTTCTATGGTCAGTGTAAACGTCTGCGCCCTACGCCTGCAGGCAACGACGGTGCGGAGGAATGCATCGCATGCCGAATACATCTTGACTAAGGTGCAACGCAGGTCAAATCTGACGATGCTGTTTATTTTGACGCACGCAATGTTCAAACAACTGCACGTGTGGCACGTAAGGTCAGTTCTGTAGTTGTAATTGGACAACAACATCCAGTTTCGGTGCTGCTGTGGTGATCGCCTCAGTAAATTTTAATTTTCTTCCTCACTCACTCCGTCCCTCACTCTCTTCCCTCTCCTCACCCATTGCGCCTCTCTCACTTACTCACACCAACACGCCGCCATGACACGTTGGAGTGAAGCCCAAATCTCAACCGTGTCAAAGATAACTACCTACCATCGTGTCATTTCGTCCTCATTGCCATTGCCATCACGTTGTCGCGTCCACCATTCACAGCTTCTCCCACGTCGACGTCCATGTCCACAACACTGTTTGTCAAGCCAGCATCAGGTAAAGCATTACCTCCCGTAGACGCCACGGAATGCAATCGGTTAGAGAGGCCGAAACAAGTCCCACAAGTGCCGAAAAATGGGGACACTTCGATGCGTAGAACTTCTCTGCACATTAAACAAGCAAGACGTGGCCCATGAATGTCCATCCCATTCCTACAAATGGGCTTAACCGCAACAGATGCAGCTGACACTACTTAAATTTTTTAAGTAGGTGAATCTGATGGAACCTGCAAGGGGTAGAAGGCTTAGGAGACCTAATTTTACATGTCATATTTTGTTTTGCTCTTGGAACATGCGGGTTACTCTACTACTTCAGTCATTCATGACTGTAACTGGAGTGCCAACGAGCAGAACGCAAGTCAAATTGCGGGAAAGAAGTCGATATCCTCGCATAATCCTATCGAAGGTGCTTGTTTTTCAGCAATTAAAATATAAATGGCGATGAAAGCTGACCATGCATGTTTTCATGACTTATCTTAGTTGCTTTGATTTTAACCTGGTGACGTGATGTTCTGCCTGCAAAGCAGTAGCCGTCCCTGGTGCGAACAGGACGCATGGGGAAGTGTTGGCTGTGGAAAAACACCGTGCACACTGCATGTGTGAGGTGGAATCAGGTCATAACTTGGGCTGACGTGCATTCACCACCATACCAACTTATCCGACTGTGTTGCTCCTGCCCAGTGCGATGAGATGAGGCATCGTATTGAGCCAACACACCGTCATGACACGTTGGAGTGAGACCAAATTCTTTAACCGTCTGTAAGATAGCTTCGTACCATCGTGTCATCTCGTCCTCACACAACACACTGTGTTGTGTGTTGCCCACTCCTTCATACGCCTCATCCATGCCTCGCACACATGCATGGCAGTGCATTTTTTAATGCTCATCCTTACATTTGTCTTCTAAACAATTGCATTTCTGCAGCTAAGCACTAACGTATGCAGAAGCATTCGATGTCCATTTTGATGCCATGGAGGTGGTCACCAAATCATCAGGTCAGTCGAAGAGGAAGGACGAGGAGGATGAGGATGAGGAGGATTTAGCGAAACCGTACACACAAAGCAATGTATTTAATGGTACGAACTTGTGTTTCGATGCTGCAACAGATTCAGTTACACCCTGAAGTGGCCACAAACGACTCCAACTCAATAAGCACTGCATACTTGGGACAATCATTTCGATAGGTGGGGAGGGAGAAAAGAAGGAAGGGAAGTGGAGAATGTTGTTGTGGTACCACCTCGTAAACAAATCCAGAACGCAATTGAATGGGAATGCAGTAATGAAATTTAGCAGTCAGGCGTTGAAAGTAGTTTGCAGCTGCCTCTCCACTCCAATGCTACTTCGGAATGCACACAGAGTGATGTCGAGACACAAAACCAGCACCCACTGCCTATGCGTGCATGCAGGTTGTGATTAGAAGAGGCCCCTGCCTTCGCAATTT